TTGGACATCTCCTTACAGAAGGGTCACAAGGAAGAGATGAGCCAGTCAGGGTGCACTATAGCACCGAGGAAGCATACAACTTTTTTCTACTTTTGTAATGCTTCCCCCCGCCCCCCCCCACTATCCTGATCCCAATTTTACCTTATAAATCCAGCTGGACCAGAATATGTACACTGGTACAGATAAGAGCTGGAAACACAAGGAATCCAGGGCAAATAAGCCCTTCAGGACCAATAATGAGAGTAGCAATACCAGGAGGATAAGAGGAAGGTGCAGGGGGAGGTGGGGGAAGAGCAACCAATCACAGTGATCTACATATAACCCACTCCCAGAGGGATGGACAACTGAAAAGTGGGTCAATGTAAGACATGAAAAAATAGCATTGCTCTGTGACTAGAAAAAAAGAAAGAAAAAATAGCAACAATTTAAAAATTATCAAGGGTGCGAGAGGGAGGGAGGGGGGAAAAAGAGGAGCTGATACCAAGGGCTCAAGTAGAAAGAAGATGCTTTGAAAATGATGCGGGCAACAAATGTGCTTGACACAATGGATATATGCGTGGTTTGTGATCAGAGTTGTATGAGCCCCTAATAAAATGATTTTTTTTAAAAATGGGGCTCCTGGGCAGGCCAACCTCAACCTGAAAATGAGACTGTTTCCAAATTCCTCCCTCCCAGAGAGGAGTACCTGTAAGAGGGCCAGCTGGTTCTGAATGAACGTGTGCATGGAAAGGTCCATCTTGACCTGATAGGTCAGTGAGGCCCAGTGCTGGCTCACAGAGGCACATCTGTTCAGGGTGCTCTTATCCAGCATACCTGAGGGGCAAACAAAGTCTTTACCTTTGGCACTAGGTTGCAATGAGAGGTCTGTAAGGAATCTGGCAACCACTCAACATACTTAAAATGTGCTTGGATAGGTGGATGGGCAGGAGGCGGATAAAGTCCTTATACTGGCTGACCCCTGAAGACAGGTCTCGAACAGTATCCTGGTTGACCAGGAAATCGAAGGGGAGGCTACTTGTCCTGGATACACTTGATTTTCTGGAAAACAGCCCATTCATCTCGGAAATAAAGTGAAGCGAACTCTTCCATTTCCCCTCTAGAATGAAACCAGAGAAAGATGCATTGTTAGCGTGTCACTGTGGTGACCCCAGGCCAAGACGAGTCTGTACCCCAAACCCCATAATAGAGCCAACCCTTAGGCCACTGGATTTTTTGTCATTTCTCCTGTCACACGAAAATAGAACTTCCTGAACCAGGCACGCAGCCATTCTCAGCTGTCCCAGCACAAGGAGGTATCTGGAAAACCTGAGCAATCTGCCATGCTCAGGGGGGATGGCTGGGAAGCTCCTTTGAAATGTTACGATGAGCAAGATTGTAAACCATTTTCAAAGAGGAAGCTGGTTGAACGATGACTGGGAAAATGTTGATAATGAATAAAACTGGTGAGTGGGGTGCATGGGTGTTTATTCTACTCATCTCTCTGCTCTTAAAACTGGAATTATTCCATGTTTTAAAAGAGTGGTTTTATTTTCTTAAATCTATACTTCGTTTCCTATAGTCATTTCATAGCTTTCTTCAAAATCCAATTTAGAAGGGTTGTGAGCTCAGTGTCCAAATGCTACACGGCGGGTGGTAGACCAAGGTCATGGAGAAAGGAACATGCGCACAAAACGGTGCTGTGACTGCGTCTGTGGGTTGGCCTGTCCCTGTGCCAGGAACAGGGACCTCGCAGGCCAAGTCTGGTGACCAGTGGTCTTACCACAAACTTACGAAGCAGCACTATTTTAAAGCCACAGAAACCGAGTGTCAAAGAGGTTATCAATATATTGACCAACACGTCCCGCGTTTTAGAGACAGCCAGGATTTGAAACTAGGTGAGTCCTCGCTTTGAACCCTAAGCCAGCGTTGCTCAAACACGTGCCTACGTCACACACTAACCACCTTCACTGTTTTTGCCCAATCGTGTGTGATTGCTTACTGTGGGGGGAGGTCAGATGCGCAGGCATTCCCCCCCGAGGGTGATCAGTTGCCAAACTGCACTGGGCCTGCTCCCTGCTGCTGAAGACAATGGACTATTTCTCTCTGAAGCTTGGGGCCATTCGCTTGGCTCCTGTCGGGGGGTTTGCACCCTATTGATAATGGTTCCCTGTAATTAGTGGGCTGGCTTGCCCCCAAAAGGTATATAGGCATGGGTCAGCAATATAGAGCTCGTGGACTCGGACCTCTCTG